TATTCTAATATTTCCCCATAGTGAGGTAGATATGTGGGGGCGTGTTAGAACGAGCCATTTTAGGGGGGCATGGCAGAGTCTTAACTTTGATAAAGAATATCTCTTTGGTTTTGAGACTTTAGTCTTTGCAACTTCAGGGATCTTATCTATGCACAATCAGCTTGTAACACTCCAAAGAGAAAGGAAAACTTGAAATCGCATCATATGACCCCTTTAACATAAATAGCCATTCCTTTTGGCATTATTTCTTAAATCTATTAATTGCAATTTTTGTTGCCTTTGAATTCTATAACCACAAACATGTAAATACATCAGCCAAGGATCGCCTGGCTCTCCCAGCATCTGTACTGTTAAAAAAAACCCTCTTTTGACTGCTGCTAGAACAGCGAGAAGCATATTCACATGTGATGCAAATTTTGTTTAGACCAGTCACTGCATCTAATTCGCCCAACAATAAGGCTTCTGACACATCAAGGCTGCTCGATATTGAAAACTTATTTTAAAATGACCAACTGATTTATGTCGGACTCTCATCCACACGGGCCTATTCTAGAAATATTTGTGTTGCACCCAAAACATTGCAGCGACATGGTTTTCATGGGCGTTTGCACATAAGAGGATTTTGTTTTTGGTGTTTATAGAGCGTTAAAGGGTTATGAAACTACATCACTAGCCTTAGCATCTCCCTTTCTCTTCAGTTTAGATTTGATTTTCCTGTGCTGCTCCCAACTGTTGGTGTACATAGCAGGAGGTCCTTCCTCCGGCTCTGACAGAGGCCCTCCGTTTTCATCCAGGCCTCTCTTCCTTTTAATTCCTCTACTCATGAACAAGCCAGAACGTTCTGGAGGCTTTAGGGAACAGTCCATCTATCAAAGTAACACAGTACAACATGTTAATGCAGCAAATATATGAGCTATATACTGAGACTGCTGTTTATTCATTTTACAATGAGTTTTAATAACGACCAAGTAGATATTCAGCATATTTTATACTAAAATTAACATGCAAAACAGCTCAACTTCTAATATACACATTGTACTGCAGCACTTAATACAAGACTAGTCAGAGATAGATAAACACACAAACCTCCAAGGCCTCCAGGCTTATGAAGCTGGCTATAGCGAATCCATCGATGATATCCTCCTCGCAAGACACCGATTCTCGCTTCCTCCGACGCGGAGGCCGGTGTCTGGCCCCGGGCAAGCCGGGTCTGCATTCTTCTCCGCTGGCACGGAGCAGTGAGTGTCCTCTGCAGAGTTCTTGGTCCGAGGCCGAGGATGGCGACGAGGCCCTGTGTTCAGCGAGATCCGCTCTCCTCCGCCGCCGCTCTCGGTCACGCTGCGAGCGGGAGCGACGGCTCTGCCTGAAGCCTCCGCTTCGACTGGGACCGTCCATGTCAATGCCCGACAAAGGCACTTAATAAAAACACACCCTGGTCCGGCCTGGGGGACTTTACAACAGATACTGAATAAAAACCAGCGCCTCCAGTACCAGTGTTGCGTATCTCAGATGAAAATGTGGTTTAAGGTTCCTGTCTTATAATTTAATCGAGTCCAGTGGAGGCTGTATGGTGTGAGCACACTGCAGTCTGAGTACAGTCATGTCTGGGCATCACCGGGCCTGTTTTATCTAATAACACAGCGATTATAAAAGCTTCTAGATATTCCACTTACTGTCTTTCTGTCAAGACATTGTCACTTTCATCTGAGGAAGAAAAAAAGGAGAAAATACCGATCAGTGGCGCAGTCGGTTTTTTAAAGATTCAACATGGCTGGTTAACTAAGAAAATATGCTGATTTGATGTTGAAAGAGCTTATTTTCTAGATATAGAATATAAACAAGACTAAACAAAACATCACTAAAGTAAGAAAGTATAACTATCGCGTTTTAATGGCATAAAGGAGAATAGTGTCTACCTCGTAAATTAGGGCTGAGTTTTCGTTAGTAAACTTTATTAAAAGGAAGATGATCAGCACAAACAAAGTCCAATTGTGACACAAAAGCAATCCTTTATAGACTAAAATATTTTAGTCGAGTATTATTTCTGAATCTGAAGCACATAAATCGGTTAACAGAGCGACAAATTAAATCGCTCTCAGCTGACGATGTTAGCTTGCTAGTTAGCTAACCTGGTTAGGATCGCGGATTAAAGCACACTCGTTTTAAACGACCAAATTCGTAACATTTTTGTTTACTATACTATAAATTACATTATGAAAATTACTGGACTGTGATATTGCCAACTATTTAACTGTTATTATATATCCGGTGTGTTAAACACAACCAGGCGAGCAAACACTAACGTTACCACCTTACCACATATCAGATGTCATTTTAAAAGATCAATCATTCGTTTTACAGTGGTCTAGATCGTTATTTATCTTCTCTGAAGAGGGGCCCAAAGCTATTTAATATGACTCCAATAAAACAAGCAACCATGTAGCCTGTGGTTCGTTGACACCCCATCTTGCACTTCACATTTAAGAAGGAAATTAAACTAATTACTCAGATCAGTACACGAATACAACCGATGAACGTAACTCGACTTGTAACCACTAATAGTCTATTTACTGATTTAAAAACAAAACCCGTAAAATGAATCAAGATACTAGCCTATTAGCTCTCTATGACGATCAGAGGAGAAAAGGGGACACTGTGCGATGTTTTAATCTCAACTCAAGTATGAAACACATTACATTCTTTTTTGCTTAAAACGAACCCACTCTGTTTTGCTTCACTAACGATGCTCACACGAACAAAACGACAACAATATTTCCAATCACACCCACCACTCGCGCTGTAGAGAGGGCCATCTTCCTCTGGCTTCTCCGTTCGTACGAGCCTCCATTTAAAACGATAATAATATACAACAGGCCCCAAGGCCTCGGGCTGGAGTTGCACCGTCACGGATGTTGAGCGCAGCCCCGTCAGCGCAGGCTGGGCACCTCCTTCCGCGGCCCGCTGTTGGATCCACTGTGTGCGGTCAAGCTGGAGATTTCGCCGGTGTCCGCAGCAGAAGCTGTTTTTTCCTCAAGCGTAACGTGAAAATGGACTTATGAAAGCTTGCTTTTCGTCCCGATCGTCAAAACGGGAAAATGGATTTCTTCATTTTTATTTGGGAAGCTGAGACATGCATGAAGCCTGGGTGGATAACTCGTAGCAGTCAAACTGCATTGTGAGCTACTGTCGGGTTTTCTTCCTCTGTTGATTCACTCAAGGCAGGCGGTATTGAATGCGACGACAGTACTGCCATCTACTGCCATTGAAGGGCAAGAGCGAGTACCTTCTTCTTCTTCTAATAACGTTTTATGGCGGATGGCAAACCAACTTCTGGTGCATTTACCGCCACCAACTGGACTGGAGTGTGGAGCACTAATAAATACATATTTATATTTATCTATATTTTATAAAAAAATAAAATAAAATAAAAAATACCAAAACACACACATTCCTAAATTCTCCTGATTAATCCTATTCCTTTAATGTATTTAACAATAGCACCATATATTTTACCTTGTTCTGCATGCTCTTTCAAGAGGTTTGACAAATTAAATGATTCAACACCCATGTTTCTTACTTCCTTAATGAGTTTTAACCTTTCTTTTTCATATTTTTTACATTTTATTAAAACGTGCTCTATTGTTTCTGCCTGATTACAAAAAATACATTGACCTGTTTCATGTTTTCCTATATTAAACAGATAGTAATTTAATCTAGTATGCCTATTCGGATGCGAGAAATAATTGTATCTTCTTTCCTATTCCTAAAAACACTTCTTCCATTTCCTACTTGCTGCTGTGGCTGCAATGGGAGATGTTTTGAACGCACCACGAGCGAGTACCTTGTGCGGTATTTACCAATAATAACTTCTGCCCTAATGATCATAATGCACATTTGTTCTCAACATCCAAAACAAGTGTTTTAGTGGTAATACCAAGATGTTTGTTTAATTTAAACTATTATTTGAAATATATGTATAATTAACCAATGTAACTACCTATTTTATTTGTTTCTGGGAAAAAATGCTGGTAAACTTTAATTGAGATTCTAAAAAAATCCAGCTATCCATGATTTTTTCGTTTTTTAGATTTTTTAAATTATTTTTATTTTCTAAGTAACTTGCAAACGAGAACAGTACAGAATATATCAACACTGCATTGTACTATACATCCACACAAAAATATAGAGATGACATGTGCTGTATAAGAGGTTATGGGGGATTTGAAAACATATCAGTTGTTGTTGTTATTATTATTATAAATTTAATTATTGCTTATTTATTTTATATTTTTATTATTTGTTTTTATATTATGTTATTTATTTTATTTTAAATCGGGACCTTGGAGGTTAAGTATGCACTTTTTTTGTTTTTTGTTTTTTTTTGCTTACAAATATGAAATTTAGCTAACAAAATAAAGATTTTAACAATAATTTCAAGACATTTACCTATATTAAGATAAAATAATTTATTTATGCGTAAGATACCAACAATACAGTGCCGAATACCTATTTTGATAAAATACAATAAAATACAGTATTATAATAAAAAAGTAAATGAGTCATAAATGTCCCTGTTGTTTGTGGAAAGTATTGTATGACGCGTTTCCTGTGACGTAGACCTATACAAAGGAAGTATTGACATTCATATGCGGAAGAGGTTAGAGTGGGGGAAACAATCGGGTGGATCGACGAACTGTAACCTTAAATAAGGAATAGAAAAAACAAACGACGGCGTGATATTTGGCCTGTTCAGCTACCGGTATCGCTGGTGGACGTTTTCCACATAAAGAAAAGACAAGGTAAAAACGAGAGCGATATAGGCCTCCGGGTTTTCTTTCTTTTCTTGAGCTAATTTTAGCAACTGATTTCAGTATTATTGTTATTTGTGAAGGATATTGGTCATTTTATAAACGAATAGTCATTTAACATGTTCTTTTTCAAAGTTTCAGTCTGAATTATCGTTGTCTTTTTGAGTGTTTCGAGAAAGTTTTAGTGTTTATTGTGCTAAATGGCCAGTTCATTGTCATTGATAGTATATAGCACATATATAAGCTGAATAATAGGGTGTGTTCAAATTTTTCTCAATATTAAATTGCGAAGGAATAGAACAATATGACAGCTATTACAGTAGGGGTGATGACACTTGATTCATAGCGTGTAAAATATTTTAATTTGCCAGTAGCTGTAGAAACCACTTGTTCACATAGTCCCATATGACATACCTGCTAACAATGATGTCATGGCATCACGTGGCCGTTATCAAATCGCATGTGGAAATCTGAATTCCTTTTCTGTGACTTAATTGTCTCTCTGTAGTGCCATGTGGATTTTTAACAGATTATGGAAACCCTTTAAATTTTCCTTCAAACTTCTAACAGTCTGGCCTTTTCTCTCTCTCTTGTATTTATTCATGTCAGATGGACTTCCTGTTTGGAAGAAGAAAGACGCCAGAGGAGATGCTCAGACAGAATCAGAGAGCGTTAAATAGAGCCATGAGAGATCTAGACAGAGAACGCCAGAGACTGGAGCAACAGGAAAAGAAAATAATTGCTGACATTAAGAAAATGGCCAAACAAGGACAGATGGTAAGGAGAGCTTTAAATTGACATCCAGGTGTCACTGCCAGGCATGAAGTCTCGCTGGAGTGTAGATAATATTCTTTTTCTGACAGGATGCTGTGAAGATCATGGCTAAGGACTTGGTGCGCACAAGACGATATGTCAAGAAATTCATCATGATGAGAGCCAATATTCAAGCTGTCAGCCTTAAAATCCAAACCCTCAAATCAAACAACAGCATGGCGCAGGCCATGAAAGGAGTCACCAAAGCTATGGCCACCATGAACAGACAGGTATATCTGCTATAGCATTTCAGTTCCTGTTTGTCTTGCCAACAGACAGCTTGTTGATATGCATTTGTTGATGTAAATTCCTTTTCCTCTCAATGCAGTTGAAGTTGCCACAGATTCAGAAGATCATGATGGAGTTTGAGCGCCAAAGTGAAATCATGGACATGAAGGAGGAGATGATGAATGATGCAATTGACGATGCAATGGGCGATGAAGACGATGAAGAGGAGAGGTGAGAAAAAAGAGAATTAATAAAGACGTTTATAATTATAATCTACATAAGATTTCTGTTGGATTTTAATGCTGTTCTTTTGAACTTTCTGTCACAATTCAGAAAAAATAGCATGGTTTCCACAGAAATATTAAGCATAACAACTTTTTTCAACAGTGATAATAATAAATTATCTCCTGACATGTGCTCTTTTTGCTTTGAATGTAGTGATGCTGTGGTTTCTCAAGTTCTGGATGAGCTGGGTCTGAATCTTTCTGACGAACTTTCAAGTAAGCAAAAAAGACACCACACTTACCATGCTATAAAATTACACTCTGAAGTCGTTCTCATATTACCTCTATTATTTAATTCAAACAGACCTACCTTCTACTGGAGGAAGCCTTTCGGTTGCGGCTGGGAAGAAAGCTGAACCGCAGGCTACGCTGGCGGATGCCGATGCTGACTTGGAGGAGAGGCTGAACAACCTCAGGAGAGACTGAGAATGAAAGGACTTAAAGTAAAGGTTTTGATTCGGAACTGTCTGCGCAAAGCTCGCTTCACTAAAATGTAGACTGATGCAAAGAAAAGAGGGAGGATGTGAATGCTGTCTGTTTTTTTCCCTGACATTAGACGCTTGAATGTGTCCTTTTTGTTTTTCTGTCTTCTTTTATGACATGTGCTGTATAAATATTACCAAACGCGTAACCCAAATGAAGATGCACTGCATCAGACTGATCTCAAGCCTTCTGTTTAGACAAATCCTTTTTTAAAGGAGATAAAATCGACAAAGAATCTGTTACCCCAAGAATCCAACTTGATCTTTTGAGGAAACATTAACACTAAATATTTCATTACTATAAAAACTGCTTTGCCACACATCATATTTTCATTTGAATAAACACAGATGTTGATACTGATCTTTTATATAAATAGTGCAAAATGGAGTCACTCCAGTTTTCAATCTGTTCATAGAAGGGTACATCAGAGGATTACCTTTAAAATAATTGTGCTATTATACTATCATGATCTTCTAATATTATATTCATCTTGATCGTTTAGTGGTAATTACCTTCGCATAATGTGGTGGTTTATATATATTTTTTTCTCAAAGTGATTGAATGTCTAGTTCCTACACCCAGGCCTGTTCAGTAAACTATAAACCTTCATAAACCCTGAAGTTTTTGCAAGGCAACATCTCACAATAACTTTGGTCATTTAATTATGAAAACTTGGAACTTGGAAGCAGTTTTCCAGAGGTTGTTCTATCACAAAATAATCTAAAGAAATATTATTGAAAATTAAAAAGAAATATTAGTGTATTTATCTCATGGTGAATCAAAAGAGGTTGTATATTTTGAAAAAAAAAAATATTTCTTGTTATTTTGCATTTATTTGGTTCAATAAACATTTTTCACACTATGACGTGATCAAATGTGTTCTGTAATATTTGGAGTTCCATTTGTTTTACAATGGCTGCCACATATACTGTTGCACACGTGGGTAATTCTTACAAACTAGTATCCCAAGTTTTGTGACAAATTGATTTTTGCATACAAACACAAGATTAAATTGTATTGTTGTACAATATTTGAAAAATAGTGTTAAACAAAATGGTTAAATTTTCAGTCTTTGAATAAATGTGATCCGTTTTCACAATCTTGCCCAGATCACATCTTTGTAATGCTAAGGGCCAAATCAAGTGATTTGGGGACAAAAATACTACAGTAAGCACAAATATGGATACATGAGACATTAAAAACTTGAGTGTCAATTAAGAAATCACAGAGTGAGTTTTTATTCTTTTTTTTGAAAAACAAAAAATCTTATTTTGTAAATAATGCTATCAATATAATATCTATGCTGAACAAACAACACTTCTGACATTAAATAAAAAAATAACAGCAATGTTTTCCTTATTTACAGCCAATGTGTGTCAGTAAAGATATTTACAGAGGTCCAGTTGTAGACATTCAGGAAAAAAAAAAACTTGTGTGCGGTGCTCACAAAATCAACACATTTACACACAAAATCAGGTTATCACTTTTGAGTTAGAACAAGACTATCTTTAGGAAATATCACAAATGCCCTGAAATAAATCCCATGAGGCACAGAATTTATGCAAAATTAATAATGAGAAGCAACACTTCTGGACATGGATAAGGTTTTTAGAAAATGGAAGTGTAAAATATACTGTATTTTCAATAAGAAGGTTGAGGTACATCAAAAACAACATCAACAGACCAACTAACTGATCCAAAAATAACGTTAAGGGCATTGTCCTTAAACCTGCATTGGATGCTGAACAGATTCGGACCCACCTGAACGGCCATACAAACAATTCTTACTCACTCTTTTACATCGGGCATTCATCTAAACATCTTATCATCCTTGCTCTAATCCTGACTATTTTTTTCTTTCTAAATGACTACGCTATGCTTACAAAAATATGTATTATTTTAGGCATAAGATTCACCACGACATTCATGCACAATTACATTGGCAAAAACAAAACAAGCTCTTTAAAGTCATTCTCAACCCAAATATTGAGGCATTACATGCAAATGTGCAGCAATATTCCATAACTACAGTTTAGTGCACATTAAAACAGTATTTGCAGTGGAGCCTGCAATAATCAATATCACTTAGCCTCAGTGAAAGGACACAGAACAGGACTACAAGTGAAGGATTAAATCAAGGCCACACACTGATTGTGAGGAAACTAAAATAGCAGTTAGCTGGGCAGTTGGTGCTTTATTATCAGGGCACAATAAAATGGAAACAGCTGTAATATGCTGCCATTTTCTTCTCACGTATACGGTCTCTGTGCAAGCAGACTGCAGGCAGACACAAAACCATAATGATGGGCTAATGTTCTGTTCCCTGACTGAACAAACCCTGTTTTGCCTCCTTTAACCCCATGTTATGCCACTGGACACGAAGGAACGCTCCTCTGGTTGGGGCCCAGAACCTGTTTGTGACTCATTTCCGACAGGTCCTGTGGGGAGTTTGTTTCTTTTGGTTTTCAATGCGACATCGACTTCTTTCGTCAACCCAGGGCAGCTCAAAGTTCCTGGAAGACAACAAATGATCATTATATGACACTTAACAGTACTTAAAAGCTATATGTTAATCAGGAGATATTTCAAAAAGAAAAAAATACTCTTACTGTGGAGGCAAATTGGGCAAAGGCCGACCAAATGCCACTACTGGCAGAAAGGGTGTTACCATGATGGCCTCCACTGTACAAGAGGAAGGAAAGGAGAAAAAATAAAAAAATTGTGAAATTATCGTATATAACAGGATACGTTTTTTTTTTTTTTTGGTTCATAAATACAATATTTTGTCAAATGAACCTAAGGGTCATACCATTGTCCACATCAGGATAAAACGAAGACAATTCTGGCTCGCTCTCCTGAACATTCGTCTTTTTCTTCTCCATGCGCTGCTGCAATCTTTGAAGCATACGCTGTTCACGTATTCTCTGAATGTCCCATCTAACAAGAGAAAAAAAGTTTAGAGCAAGTGTAGTTTCAGGCAGGTAGTAACTGTACATAAACAGCAAACTTTTAATGACAGTTATTCATTTTAAATATTACTATATTTTGTTGTCAATAAAACTCACCACATAATTTTAATCTGTTAAGGGAACTTATTTAACCACAAACTGGAACTGATATCTTGATTATTATAAATAAGCATATATAGATGGGTATTTAAGCAGAATATTGATACATTTTAGTCTCAAATAAATATCACAATATAACTCATAATTAACTTGATGCCTTTTTAATTAAACAAAATGTGCTTGTATAATTACACATTACATCTACTGTGTTGTAGACATACACTATCCTTCAAAAGTTTACGGTCTGTATTTATTTCAGCAAGGATGCATTAAATTTAAATAGCAAAATGGCAACACAAGAGTTCTATTTTAAATAACTGCTGCTCCCATGAACCTTCTATTTATTAAAGAATACTAAACTAAGCACAATTGTTGTCAACACTGACAATAAAACGAAATGTTTCTTGTGCACCAAATCAGCATATTAGACTGATATCTGAAGGATTATGTGACACTGAAGACTGAAGTAATGATGCTGAAAACTCAAGCTTTGCCATCACAGAAATTCAGATGATTTAAATTACATTTCAAAACACGTTAAAATAGTCAGTCTATTTTAAGTTGTAATAATTTCACAATATTATCGTTTTTACTGTATTTATGATCAAATATATGAAGCCTTGGTGAGTATAAGAGACTTCAAAACCTTCAACAAATCTTCCCAACTCCAAATGTTTGAATGTTTTTCATGTGCATGGAAAAACTGAAATAAAAGGGTTAAAAACGGGTTGATGCCACAAACACAGATCTAGAAATGAAACTCACCTTTTTCGTCTCTTCTCATCCAGTTCTAACTTTGCGTGCCGCTTCAGAAAAACACTGTCATCAAGATTCTACAGAAAAAGGAAATGGTGGATTAATGACAATGGGCCTAATACCTAAAGGTTAATTCATCCAAAAATGAAGATTCTGTCATGATTTACTCCAAACATGTGTGAGTTTCAAACATTCTTCAAAATATCTTCTTTTGTGTTTAACAGATAAAAAGAAATTCATACATGTTTGGAACAGCATGAGAGTGAGTAAATGATGACAAATTTTTGTGTGAACTATCCCTTTAAGAGTCTTGGATTTATGTATAACGCATATATGATGTCAATGTTGACTCTTACTTCTGGGATGTCAACAGCATCCTCCTCCTGAAGGGGTTCCATGGTGTTTTCCCTCCATGATGGGACTGAGGAAATAATTTTTTGCATTACAATTTGTAAATCAATGTGCACAACTGCCATTTTGCATTTGAGCCAAGCACATACTTGTAACATCCTCCTCTTTCTTTGGAGACTCTTCCGGTAATGGAGAGGCTGGAGGTTGCTGCCAGCAGCATAGGTACATCTCATTTGTTGTCATGTATGAAAGATCTTCCATTTCTTTGCCGTCTTCTCCCTCAGGCTGCAGGTCCGTCTGTCCGGATGATTTCGCAACATTCGTCTTCTCCGGGGTCTCCTTGTTTCGCAGGTCACGCTGACATGGTGATGTCCCTCCTGCCTCTAGTTTTTGGGGGGTCACTCTAGAGGACTTCCCTCTTGACCTCTGCATCTTTGTATCTAACAAGCTTAACTTCCTAGGCAGAATATTTACAGGTCACATCAGTCAAGCAGAAGCCACGAGAAGACAGAACAAGTAAAAAAGAACAGGAAAAAGGTGAGTTTCCCATTCTTACCGCTTTTGCACTTTTCCACTTGACTTGTCCTGGGTTTGTGGGCTGTGGCCCAAATCTGATTCCCAAAAGTCATCCGTGTCAGGAACCCATCTCTCCAGTGGTTGGAATAGCCTCTTGTCACGTGGTTCCTTACTTAACAACTGCAAGCGGCGCTCCATACGCTCAATACGGGCAAGCAACTGTTTAAAGGCAGGACAATTACATTAGAAAAAAAAAAATCATAAGCCTGCCAAAGGAGACAATGGAGTCTGGGGTTGGAAAGATTTTTAAAATGTTGTTTTAAAATGAAAGAAGGGTCTTATGCTCATTAAGGTTAAATGTATCAACAATACAGTAATATTGTGAAATATTATTACAATTTAAAATACCTGTTTTCTATTTTAATGTATTTCAAAAAGTGATTTATTCATGTGATGACAAGCTGAATTTGTCTATTGTTGTCTTTTTTTAAATGCTATTATTTCTCATTCATTATAATGTTGAAAACAGTTGTGCGGTTTATTTATGTATTGTGTAAACTGATACTTTGTATCAGGATGCATTCAGCTTTAATGAATACATTTATTTAAAACAGAAACCTTTTGCAACATTATAAATGTCTTCACTGTCATTTTCAATCAATTGAATGCATCCGTGCAGACTAAAAAATTCTTACTGACCCCAATGGTTGCATACATACCATGTCTCTGTCTGATTTGAGTTCATCTATTTCCTTGTCTTTTGTCTGCAGCTGTTGCTGTTGTTGCTCTATCAAGTCCAGCTGAAGCAAAAGCAGTTGTTTAAGGCAAGTGGCTTGTGCATGAGGATGACTAGTGATCTTCCTCATATTTGTCCTTTTGCCCTCCGAGTGTTCATTAGACACCCCCATAGTCTCTAACCCTTTGGTGCTTTTCTCACCCACAGGGTCTCTAGAATTACTATGTGAATTCATGGATACAAACTCTGGCTTGTTATCAATGGTGTTGGTCTGTCCAAGAGGAGTTTTACTTTTTACAGGGGTGCCTTCACCCCCCATTTGTTTAGCTTGAGATGACAGTGTTTCTGTGCCCACAGAGCCAGCCTCTGAAGCAACAGCCAACTCTCTTCCAGGCTTTAAAGGCAGTGAAGTCCGCTCAGCTTTCCCAGTCTTGTCCAAGATCAGATGTTGTCTGGTCCTGCCTTGAGTGTCACCAAGAGGATTTCCAATCTCTCTTCGGACACTAACTGGGTGTCTTGTTTGAGATGGACTTAAGTCACAGTTATTTGAGTACAATCCCACTTTAGAAAAGCGTTCGGGTCGCATATTCATGGCGAAGAAAAACCTCTACCCCATGAACCATGGCTCTTATAGAGTTGATATCAACAGGGTGTGTCTGCAGACCTGTACATAAAAAAAAAATAAATTAGATCAAATCAATATTATAGCAAAGTGACGGATACGTAAATTACAAATCATTGTTTGAGGACCCCCTTGAGTGCTGGGAAAATATGAAAATGCAAAGCAAAGAAGCATATCCTTCCTGTCTATATATGTAACCCAACCTTCTGTATAAAGTTGAAATAAATCTACTGGGAGAGCATAGACTAAATAAAACACCAAAACCATTCACATAATATCTTTATGACATTAAGTTGTCTACAGACTAGAAATCAGATGCTTAGGCATAAACAACAGATCACTGCAGCTCACTACCGGTTGGACTTGGGTGAAAACATGCACACACCTATTACACTAATACTCAAGCTCCATGTGAACCTGCTAACTAAACGCAATGATGCATATCGTTCAAGAGGTATGAACCATTTTAGCTTGAGCTATTAATAAATAGCCCGCCTCCATTTTGATCCTCACTGCTAGCTAGCCGCTGTTAGCAAACGAGGTGATATAATATTAAATCCGTTTTCGCTGCACAATGAGTTTGAATCCATGCCGCATTTCTTACATAGTTACTGGTTCGCCCGGGGTAAAATCCTAAAGATCTGAAGAAACACATCTTATATAAGCCTTTTACTTTACTTTTATTGCTGTTTGTCCCCCATTTTCAGGCTTGAATCTGCACAATGTCCCAACATACGAGTGCGTTTGACTCAGTGCGCATGCGTCAAGTCAGGACGTGTTTACATTGAGTGATGGGTCTTTTGGGCGATATTAAAGGCAGTATGCGTGTACACTTTTATATGCACTAAAACTGAGTACATTTATTTAAGCATAGGTAATTGGTCAGGATAGTTCTGTTATGGGAACGCTAGATGCCTGTTATTGGGAAAATCCAAGTCTCGGAAAATCCGTGGATCATACCGTGCACACTTGAGGAGAGAACCTTCCCAACGTCACTTCCTCTGACGTTTTGCACTCCATCCCGCTTGGTTTATTTCCAACTTTATATATCCGAATCCATAACATTATGTTAGAACACTATGAATATGACTACTAAAACAATGCTTTATTTGTTATAAATGTATCTTCTTTGCAAATTGGTTATCCACAAAGTAACTTAATCAACAACAAACCAATTTTTTCTTTCTTTTTGAAAGAATTAAAAAAGTATCACCAGTTCATCTTCAGAAAATAAGAAAGCAAGTAGAACGACTTCAGTTACGTTTGTCCTCTCAATTGATGTATAAATTAATGTCTTACCTTCTCTTGTCTGTCTTCATGTCCCTCTTTTTATATTTTTCAGTTTAGCAAATTATTGTTAACTCTTTCCCCTCCTCTTTATTTTGTTGACATTGAGTGTGTTGATACATGTTGTGTCATATACAAAACTGTATGTCAACTACATTTTTTGCATTGATATTAAAAAACATTATTTACCCGAGTATTTCACCTAATTTCTCCCTTTGTCATATGGCAAATATGTTTAGATATTTACTTTTCTAATTTTGTTAAAAGGAACAAGACTAATATATAGGAACAAGGCAAATATATAATAATAATATATTATTATTTAATTATATAGAATATATTCAAATTTCATAGAGCTCATGTCACCTGCTGGTTTCCGCGGATAAGGATTAGCCTACACACATTACATGTGCTTAACTGTAATCACCAGCAGGGGGAGATATAGTACAATTGATTCTATTTTTTTACCTGACATTCTCTCATATCTTCAATGCATTCGTAGAAAATAAAGAAGGGTTTTAAAAAAGGAAAACAAGATTTCAAAAAGTTTTATCGTTTTATTGAATTATCCATAATCCATGCATAATGTATTCCAAATGCAATAATATTGTTATCTCATAATCACCACTAAGGCCACAAAGGAAATGACTGAACACAGAACGTTGTTTAATTATATTGAGGTTCAGTTCACTCAGCTGCAATAGTCTAATTAGACTGTATAACCCTGATCAGAGGGCTTGAGGCTCTCTCTCATTCTCTTTCTGAGAAACTGAGGGAAACCCGAAGCTCATTATCTCACTTGACTTATGCAATCTATTGATCTAAGGCGAGTAAAAGCCTGAAATGGATCAAATCAATGTGAATGAATGTGTTCACAATCTGTTTATGTTCATACTGCAATATTCTTCTACACAGAACAGAAAGAAAGGAAAAAAGACAAATTCGGAGGTAGAGAGAGAAACAGTAAGCGATACTTCACTAATCATGGTTTGCATTACAGTATCAAAGACTAAGATTAAAACATCATGTCAATATGCACAATAGACAGCTACAGGTCTCGTGGCATCTGTCATATTCTCCTTGCCTGCCTAATGTTCAAATGGCTCTCCTCCAGTATGTGTCGGCTTGAGTATTGAATATGCGAGCATGTGCATGATTAATTATTAGATTATGCTGTTCATAATTATAATATCAGTCAATATTTACCCCACCATATGCTGCAGACACACAGGGGTGCCCCTCTCTCCTCGTCACAATGGCTTTCACACCAGGAGCAGAGAGCAGGCTAACGTTTGGCAGGTATCTCTCTAATGCTCTTAGCCATCTGCCAATCGCGTGGGCTCTCCCCACAAGAACATAATGTTTCTGATTACTGGGTTAATTTCAACACAGTTTGGCACAGTGGAGACTCTGCAATCTCTTGCTGCACAGTTAGCACGTTTGGCCGCCAGCCATCATGCTGCCAGCCTCCAGCCCGGTGTTGAATAGGTTCGGGTTTAGCCAAAGGGGCTGATTCAGAACAGTGGATCCTGGTGAATACTACGATCGTCTATATTTTTACATTCACTGATTTCTTCTCTGCCAGATTTAGGACATCACAGATCGCTTTATGTAACAGATCAAAATGATATTTTCAGCTGTTTGTCAGTGCTGTTTTTCCATTCATGCTGTTTATTGGTGGATATCTGCTTCTTTTATAGATAGCTATGCCTCCCTCATGTACACATAACTTATCTTGTTTAGTCTTTTGAACTGGTATCTGTATTGCCCTGCTTTTAGTCTCCATAAGCTGTATTGCTGCTTTCTATTTCCACAGCCGGCCTTATGAGTGAATGACCTTGGTGGGTGCATGGGGTGTCAAGTGTAGGAGAGGATAACACAGGGGCTTTTTGTGATCAGTCTAGCATTTTTTTTTATATCATATCAAAAGCCAGTTCAACTCAATTTATCCACACTTTCTGTTATATTTGTTGAGTTACAGCACACAGACAATTCTGAACAATACAGTTAACAATTCAAAAATACAGTTTTCAATTTTTTCTTAATATGATTTTCAGTGCACAAGCTTTAGCACTAATCTCTGGCAAATATGAGTTTTGTAACAAATAATTTAGTTGACACTTGAAATTTGTCAATTTACAAAAATTGTATTTGTCACAATATGATCTAAAAAGCAATTACAATTCTACAAACAGGATGGCTGTTTCCGGTACCCCATAAAGCCCAAAATATCTCTTCAGTTCTTACATGAGGTGAAAATATCCAAGAACAGCCAATGAGCAATATGCAGTTATGATATTGAAACCAGATGTGCAAGATATTAGCTGATTAATAATTTAACAATTCTGTCCAAAGTCTGTATTTCTTTATGTCAAGTCTTAATATATAAGCATTTGCTGTTGCTAATAAAAAAGTTTTTTTTTTCTGTTCAATCATGTAAAAGCTGCTTGAAATAGTGCTAAAGAAGTAACAGGTGTGACATTACCGCTGAGATGCTCCTTGTGGGTCAAATCACTATAGCTTTGGCATTTCTGATTCTCTTTTTCTTTTTTGTGTAGTTTCTACATTCCCTTTCTCTGGAAAGGGCTCAAGCACTTCCAGTTTAATGACAGAGAGAGCTACTTCAAAGGGACCCCCCCCCATTCTACATTCATTCTAGTTCACAGTTTTCTTGCTCCTATTTCTTATGTATTTAGAGCTGGGTGAATTACCACATACTTTTCTGCTCTCATGAGTGAGCATGTTGGATTCTGATTTAATTTCAAGTAGTCATCATTAGGGTTGGGTATCGTTTGAATTTTATCGATTCCGATTCTGCTTATCGATTCCGATTCTTACCGATTCGTAGTTTTGATTCCAATAAGATAAAAAAATCCAATATAAAAAAAATTAAGTCAAACATTTAGATGTCAAACATTTATTCTGTCTTTTTACAAAGCATTCTGTTGCAGCTGAATAACACGAGCAAAAATCAGCAGCCTACAGAACACTGCAAGAGGAATTTTGCCTATGCTTTAAAAAAAAAAATACCACAGCAAAAACAACTAGATTAATATAAATCTCAAATATTAAAGTGTTAAAGACAAGTAAACAGTCAGTAATAAGATAGGAACAAACAAATCAATTAGCAATATCATAAATAAATACAACTGAACAAAATTTCAGGTACAGAGCGTTTATTAGGCTGCTGTCTCTTTAACACCAAACGCACGCAGATCAAAAAATACTGTACATGTGTGTTCTCATCTGTTTACGTTCACGTAAGACAAAAACGGCTGTGTTTATGATGATATACTGACGTAGTTTTCTGCATAATTGGTCGACAAATATGAAAGTCGTCAGTTTGGGCCCGGAACAACCTTTTCTACAGTGGAAATACACGGAATGGTTCGGGAACGGGCACAAGCCGGGAACCCGTACCGCGACCTCTGTTCTCTGTGCTCGCGCTGCACGCAAACAGGGCGCAAGTTCTTTCCGTTCCTGCACTTAAATCGTTTTTAAATCACATTAAAATGCGAACGCAGGAATCGTTAAGCAGAATCGAAATGCACGCGTCTTATCGAATACCCGGTTCTTGGAAATTTGGAACCGGTTCTAAAATGGAACCGGTTTTCGATACCCAACCCTAGACATCATCAACTCATTCGAAGCCTTGTGAACTGAAATGTTTCAAATAGCAAAAACTAATAATTCAGTAGCGTACTTATACATTTTCACATTTATTGTAAAACGACCTATAGTGCATGCATTTAGGAATTGAACCCCTGACCTTTGCATTGCTACAGGAAGGCTTTTTGTATTGGTCCATAACCAAACCGCCAAACGAGTGACTGCCATTGAGTTCAGTGGGAATTCTGACAGATAGACTTCTCCAGGTATTATAAACCTCCTTTTGGAAATCCAATTTGTTGAATTCCCTCTTGATTTCAAACTGCCCCAGCTCTTTCCACACCCTCAAATCACATCTTGCGCATTGTTATCAATCAACTCTCCCCTAGTGCTTTCTCTAGCATGCTGGTGCCATAACATCCCACCCCATATCCCCAAAACACACATTTGTACACGCATCCCCAGCTTGGACATACGGCACGGTGTGAATCAATGTCTTTTATTAATTACCAAAATGTGTACGTGTTCTGAGGGGAGACAAAGGGTCAGACGTACCTCTTTGGGCCGACAAGCAAATGGGCAAAAAACAAACAAAAAGGTCTCGTAACCAGGCGGAGGGAGTGACTCAGACACAATCAATTCTCCATGAGCTCTCAGTGGAGCTTCGAAAGCCATGGAAACAAAAACAACACTCCCAACTCAGGTTTACAGCTCAAGGACCCATCCTGTTTATTTTCAACCTCCAAAACTAACCCTATTATTATTCCTGCAGCAGTCAGATTTGACTTGTAAAATACTCTGTGTGGGAGGGATTGGAGAAAGCTTTTTGAGTTCCATCACAACAAAGTTCACTCTAAGGTGACAAAAGCGCTCTGTTTTGCATG